CGGAGGCGGGTGGCACTGGGGTCTCACTAAAAGCTACCAACTGCTTTGAGCCCTCCCACGCAAAGCCAGTGCGAACACCGCGCCGCTCTGGCACTGCAGCCACATCCTCTCGGGAGAGAAAGTCACTCAGTTTCTAAAAAGAAACGAATACACAAAAAAAAGCCAGAGAGAGAGAGAGAGAAAGAAAGAGCGTTAGGGAGAACAGGAGGTCATGAAGCATAAAGGCAAAACATCAGTTTCTTGTCACATATCACATCTCCAGTGACGCATGCAACAGCGCTGGGCTGGGACACTTGAACATCATCCGGGTGCTACCCGATGCAGCCAGTGCACTTATTGACTTCCCGGTACATCAATAATCCACTCTCCTCAAGCTTAAGGAAATAATATTAAAACTCTCTGCACCTGAAGGAAAAGCCACCACTAAGCACCTTTTGCCCAATTTGGAAAGAGGAATAATTCCGGTGTAGCAAGCGGGGATTGGTGCACATCCAAAAATCAGGTGTGCAACAAAACCCACCCACTACCCCAAAACCGCAGCCAGTTCTGCTTTTAACCCCTCGAAACCTTTCCTGCTGTAATTTGCACATGGATACGATAACCCGCAGAGCCTGCGCCTTGCTCTTTTCCCCTGGGAACACACACGCACCTCGGAGCACCCCGTTGGCTGTTGCGGTCTCCGGGATAACGGACACAGAGTCAGCATTGGTACAATTATCGCACGAATATCTACAAGTTAATGGTGAAATCAACTGCTTCAGTGACCGAGAGGCTCCTGAGTCGACGATGCAGTCTGGTCACCTGAAAGAATTTGGATGGCTTCCTCCGGACAAACCGGTTCAGTTAACCTGGCAGGAAACTTCCCAGCTGAGGAATTAAGAAACGGGGCTCTAGGCTGGAGAGCCAGATGATCCCGCTGGTGTGTGCTGAGCCCGTCGCCACCGAGCACACGGCTCGGCTGACTGCTCAACGAGCTGCGTTTCACCATTTATCCGGGCCTCCCGTAACGTCCGTAACACATTTCATCCCAAGAGCACACCATTTATCCGGGCCTCCCGTAACACATTTCATCCCAAAAGCCCTTGGCACACGGAAACCTTTGCGGCAACTAAACCTCCTGAAGGTCCAATGTAACTGCTGTTTGTGATGATGCACGGGAGAGAAGACACGCAGTGAAGCAGCCAGCCTTCCGAGGGGCAAGCCAGCGTGTCCAGAGCACCTGGGATACCCGGGAAGCACGCACCACGCCAGAGGGTTTAGCTAAGGCTGGTGCCAGTCTGCTCTCCGTTCAGCTCGTTAGCAAGGTCTTAACTAGGTCTTCTCACATCCCTGGGAGCCCTCGAGCCAGGAGGGAAGCAACAGAGAGAGAAGAGTTAAAGCACAAACAGGACAGTAAGCTTTGGCAAAAATCCGCCGTTTGCCCGCGCGAGGATGAGTATTCCCTACGCGGAGAAGCAGCGTCTCAGTCTCCAGCAGCGACCCATGGCTACAGCCCTGCCCCGTGCCAGAAGCTGTGTTGCTCTCACTGTCGACATGGAAAGCTGCCTTCAAGGAAGGGCAGAGTAAGCAATTTTGGGCACCTACAATTTTACACATATCGAAGTTGTCACATCATCCAGCATCAGGGAACAAGGAGGAAAATAGCCCAGAGGGATGCTGCTTCATCAATGCCATTATGATTTCTCCTCAATAATTAACCTCACAGTTGACTTCGCATAACTCTGTGTAAAAATAGCCATGTCCAAAACCAGTGATTAAAATAGTTCATCAAAAAACAGTGATTAAATATTCATAAAAGCATGGTAAGTCTATTTTGTCAACTGTAATTCTCATTTTGGTGGTGGCATTAAGATGAACACAAACTTTTGCCTCACTTGCTATTAAGAAGATTGTCTGGGCAACCAAAAAACGGTGATTTGTGGTTAAAATGTGAGGTCTGAAGCCTGTGGGTGATGCGGTACAATGCATTTTCTGTACACCAGAGGTTTTCACCCTGACTGACCTCGCTAATGGCACGGTTCAATAGTTTGGGAAGAACAGGAGCTGCTTTATGTAGGAGCAAATGCTGCTTATTTTGGTACGACTCTTCCACAGTTCCTCCCGGGTAGTTCTCAGTTCCCTGCTTCTTTATGTTGCAGATAGACTACCTGTAAGATTTCTATCCATTAGCATTTCCAGCCCCTTGGGTTCTTGGGATATTGCTTAGGAAAACGCATTTAGTAGGAGCAAAGGGACAGCGATCGGCACTGTGATGATGAGGTCTGACCGCAGGCATAGGGAAGTGTTCGTTCTGTTGGAAAACCACTTCCACACGTGCTCCTCCAAAGGCACATCCAGCTCCCACACGCATTTTGCCTAACATGAGATTCCACGCTGCAGGGAACAGAACGGAGATTATCAGCTTTGAACGCCCATGTGTCAGTCTTGCTTTAAAACCTCCCTTTACGTACGGCCAACGGAGCGACCTTTCCTTAACGATATATGCTAAATCTGGCAGATTAATCACGGCATCTTGGGAAGACACAGTACATCTTCTGGGGTTGAAGGGAAAACGCCGTAGGAGCAGGAATTCCTGACGCACCTGCTGGGGCACCACTTCAACCACGAGCAGAATCGCAGACCCAAGCAGGTGAGGCGGCTTCAAAGCGCAGCTCTGTTCAAGAGAGAAGCGTTTCTATCCAGGCTCAAGAGCCTCCCAGCTCCCTTTCCGACACAGAAAAAATGACGTGCGTTTTGGAAGCCCCTCGTACGGAAGGGAGATGCAGCCTACGGCGTGTACCCGCTGGCCGTCGGGAGAGCAGCGTGCGGAGACAAGCATCCCGGCGACACAGGCAGAAGGAAATCCTGATAGCATCACCAGGAGCGCTTTTTGTCTTGCCTTCCTATTCTACTGATAAGCCACACTAACTGAAAGGACTTTGTTTCTATATGAAATTGTCTATTTACACACACTTTAAAAAACCAAACCCACAAGGATGTGTGTTCTGATTTTTAAAAACGCAGTTTGCATGTCGGCTAGAAAAGATTCTCTCTTTATAAAAAAACCAACCTCCCTGGGAATCTGAACACGTTACAAATTCTCATCTTACCGAGATTTATTTTAATTTGCAAATTCAAAAGCATTCCTATTTTCAGGGCTCAGATTGGCAGAGTTCCAAGCTCTCCGTGAGACCCACGAAACCTGGGAGAGCCGATTTCCCGAGACACAGACCCAAACCAGGGATGCCTAAACCAAGCAGGAAGCGGGCCGCTCGCTGAAGCCACACACAGCGCCAAGAAAATGCAAGGGCAGGATGCAGTGCCCCAGGAGAAAGAAATCGAACCAGGCACGAGGGTGACTAAACCTCGGGTAAGTGGCAAACTGCGAGCACCTGATGTGACAGCACTGAGACCGCAGCCTAACGTAAGCGTTAGCGTAAGGAGTGACACACAGGCA